ACATATTGCTATGAGAGATGTCTGAGATTTTGCTGCCTATGATTTCTAGGATTTTTATGGTTTCACGACTTACATTTAAGTCTTTTATCCATTTTAAGTTTATTCTTGTGTATGGTGTAAGTTGGTCTAGTTTCTCTTTTTTTGCATGTATCTGTCCAATTTTCCCAACACCATTTATTGAAGTGACTCTCTTGACTCCATTGTATGCTCTTGCCTCCTTTGTCAAATATTAATTGAGCTTGGGTTGATTTCTGGGTTTCACCCCAAACCACACTTTCAAACTGATGTTACCCCCAGGAAGCTCCGTGTTATGTCTATATATGTTTAGATGGTAAAATGTATACCCTGATGGGAAAGACTGCTCGAAACTTAGGTCGGCTTTCCTCCTTTTCTAGAAGCAATACTAACACAGGACAAGTCTAGCAAGGCTTGCGTTCATGTGCGGATGATTCTGGGCAGGGCTTTCTGGTACCTGCTGATGGAGCGAAGGTGGGGAGAGACCAGGCCATGAAGCTGGTATCAGCTCTGCTGTCCTGGAACCGACTCAGGGACAAGTGCAGACTATTTTCCCCAATATTCATGCTTATTTTTCTACCCGATGTTGAAAAACTCCTCTTTTTTTTTTTTAATGTAAAGAAGAATATAACCATGGGGAATTATACTTGAACATATGGTTTCAGCATTTGAGCATTTTAATTTTTCTACCGATGTTGAAAAACTCCTCTTTTTTTTTTAATGTAAAGAAGAATATAACCATGGGGAATTATACTTGAACATATGGTTTCAGCATTTGAGCATTTTATGAACCCACAAAAGAGTCATGCTAGATGCTTTGGGTACTGAAAGGGAGGCTGTTTCAGGGTTCCCCAGGATTCATAGGCGAGACTACGATCTTAATTCATTACGTGAATTATTGCCCATAAGACACAAGGCCCTGGTGTTCTTCTCTTAGTGGGAGGAGGAAGCCTGGGTTCTTGGAAAGAGCCTTGGCCTTGGAGCTGGAAGACCTGGGGTTGACTCCTCTCAGCGTCCGGGTGACTCGGGAAGACTTGAGGCAAAAGGCATTGCACTGCCTCAGTTTCCCCAGCTTCCGGCCAGATCTCAGGCCCGGATCTCAGGTGCCACCAGATGTGAACACGAGCCATACGGGGGGAACTAGAACAAGTTAGGATGGCACGTCTTGGGAGGCCTGCATATAAGAAGGCAGCAAATGTCTGAAACTCCCAGGGAAGAGAATTTCATGGGAAGCCACGTGGCTGGTGATGGGAAATGAACAGTCACAGGATGTGGAAGGAAGCTCGGAAATCGAGCCCAGTCATTGACATGATGCCCCTGCAGCTGATTTTATGTTCTCCTTCAAGTTATATTTGTATCAGGACACAACTTCCCATAGTGATCGGGAAAATCCATCAAACCATTCACTCCTTGGGGAAACAGGATCCTAAAATAGGGCCTTTTACCCAGAGCGCCTTCACTCAAGTTGAGGATGGGAAGCACCTCAAGTACCTACTAATATTCTAAAATGAATGACAAGGACTGACGTGTTCCTCCAAAATTCGTGTGCTGAAGTCCCAACCCCCCATACCTCAGAGTGTCACCATATTTAACGGTAAGGCCTTTAGCCCAGCAGGCGTGGCTCAGTGGTTGAGCATTGACCTATGAACCAGAAGGTCATGGTTCAATTCCCTGTCAGGGCACATGCCTGGGTTGCAGGCTTGATCCCCAGTTTGGGGTGTGCAGGAGGCAGCCGGTCAGTGATTCTCTTTCATCATTGATGTTTCTATTTCTCTCTCCCTCTCCCTTCCTCTCTGAAATCAATAAAAATATATGTAAAAAATAAAAATCAGGCCTTTAA